CAGGCTGATGGCTGCCAGTACAGCAGTGGTGGTGGGAGCCTCTCCTGCCTCCTCAGCAGCGCTAGGTATGTCTGACTGCAGCTTAGGTCTGCTTCCCGCTGGCAAGTGGACATCCCCCAAGGGCTGCCGGGCTGCCAGAGGGATGTCTGATTGCCAGCTTAGGCCCAATCCCCTGGGGAGCAGGCCTCAGCCAGCAGATGGTCATCCCCCGAGGGGTCCCAGACTGTGAGAGGTCACAGGATGGGCTGAGGGACGTCCCCTCCCACCCCCGAGTGCACAAATTTTTGTGCACCGGGCCTTTAGTCTATATATATAAAAGGCTAATATGCAAATTGACCCCTCAGGAGTTCAACTGGGAGACCACGAGTTCAATTGCTCGCTATGATGTGCGCTGGCCACTAGGGGGCGTCGCGGAACGAAGGAAGGCCCCAGCCAGCAGCCGGAAGGCCCCAATCGGCCCTGATCGCTGGCCAGGCCTAGGGACCCTACGCATGCACAAATTTCGTGCACTGGGCCTCTAGTTCTAAATAATGGAGCATGTTCTCACTACTAAATAGAAAATAATTATGTGACCAGATGGAGGTGTTAGCTAACACTACAGTAGTAATATTGCAAAATAAAAATGTATCAAATCAATAATTCTACACCTTAAACTTCTACAATGTTATATACCAATTATGTCTCTAAATAAATAAATAAATGAAACAAAAATAAGTAATAGAGCAACATTTGACTAGCATTCTATATTTAAACTCTTGATTATCTCCTCAGCTCTCCCCAACCTTGGCCAGTAAAGACTAATAAAACATGATGAACTAAACTAATTACTTTGAAAAGTAGCTATATCCCATTATTTTCACCACACTTAAAATTTTAGTCTAGTAAAAAACCCCAGGAATTCTGCCGTGTTCATTATTCTGTATGTACTAAGCCTTCATATTTAAAAACTGGAAAGCCTTTTTCAAAAGTTTCACCTTGCATTCTCTCTTTTTTTTATGACTATCATTATTGATTTGAGAGAGGAAGGGAGAGGGAGAGAGAGAGAGAAACATCAATGATGAGAGAAAATCATTTTTTTAATATATATTTTATTGATTTTTAACAGAGGAAGGGAGAGGGATAGAGAGTTAGAAACATCGATGAGAGAGAAACATCGATGAGCTGCCTCCTGCACACCTCCTACTGGGGATGTGCCCGCAACCAAGGTACATGCCCTTGACCGGAATCGAACCTGAGACCTTTCAATCCGCAGGCCAACGCTCTATCTACTGAGCCAAACCAGTCAGGGTTCACCTTACATTCTTAAGTCCCATAATGTTTTTTAGAAAAGCTCTTACTTGTTTTGATAATGTGAGATGCTTTTCTTAAAAATGTTTCACATAAAAATTTTTCTAGAAAGGCAAAAATACTTCATGAAGTATTCAGCTTTTGCACAGGTACAATTAAAGTATGTGAACAATTTTATATATGCTCTCCAGAGCTTCATAAACACATGTATGCTATAACCTCACAGTGACAATTACCTTTGAAGCCCTTGCCAATCAGGCCCCTCAATTGAGATCTATCTTGTAAAACTATCCTTTTAGCATTTCAAAGAGAGACTGTCTCAGAGAATACATGATGATTCTACTTTAACCTAAACAGCACTTCACAATTAACAGTTGGTTCCAGACTATCTTTCAATAAAAAACATTTCCTATCATATACTGAGAGCTTTTAGCAAATGTTATTGAAAATGAAAATAAATCTAGGCAGTGTAAATTTTAATCCCATGTTCCACAGAGGAATAACAGAATTAAGAAATCTTGTTTGTAATCTTAAAATTCTGTTTTCTTTCTTTACATAAGAGGTGAATGCATCTGAAAGTTCCTGACTAACGCAATGTAACCACTTGCATTGTGAAACATAAGGCGAACCCTGAAATTGATTTTTTAAAAAGAAAGACAGAAGCCCTGGCTGGTGTGACTCATTTGGTTGGGCATCATCCTATGCTCCCAGTCAGGGAACATGCCTGGGTACGGGCTACATCCATCCCTGGTAGGGACATGCAGGAGACAGCTGATTGATTTCGCTCTCACATCAATGTTTCTCTCTCTCTCCCTCTCCTTTCCCCTCTCTGAAAAATCAATAAAAATATAAAATAAAATTTAAAAAAAGAAACCAGATAAAAACAGCCATCTATGGGATAGTTTCATTTAAATGAAACATCCATAACAGGCAAATACGTAAGTAAAGAAAGTAGATCAGTGGTTACCTGGTGTTGGGGTAGGATTGGCGCGGAAGGGAGGCAGAGGGGGGTTTAAAGGTGTGGGTGGGAGTGACTGTTAATGGGTACAGATTTCTTTCTGGTGTGAAGAAAATTTTCTGAAACCAGAGTGACAATGGTTGCACAACTCCATGAATATAATAAAACACTAAGTTGCACACTTTAAAAAGTGAATTTTATGGTATATGAATTCTATTTCAAAAAGGTGTTTGGGGCTGGCCGGCATGGCTTAGTGGTTGAGCCTCCACTTATGAACCAGGAGGTCATGGTTTCATTCCCGGTCAGAGCACATGCCTGGATTGTGGGTTCGATCCCCAGTGTGGGACGTCAAGGAGGCAGCTGGTCAATGATTCTCTCTCATCATTGATGTTTCTCTTTCTCCCTTCCATCCTGAAAATCATATTTTTTTTAAAAAAATGCTGTTTTGTTTTGTTTTTGAAGGAGATACAGAAATGTGAGCCCAAGCATCTTCCATAAAACATTTTATTAGGAAAATGCTCCTCCCTGCACAGTATACAGCATCTTGGAAATTCACAATGCATACATTGTAAGTTCTAAGTCCTATAGAAACCTGACTGCTGTGTTTAACCCAGTTTCCCAAACTCACTTGACTGAAGAACATCCCAATACACCAGCACCCAACCCCCCACAAAGCCTACTAATATCCACTTGGACTTAATGTTCCTTGGAAAACATTAGGAAAATTTGCTCTCAGTATGTTACAAATACAAAATTAAAAAGAGTATTAGAAGAATATTATTTATCATTTGTGGAACTGAAATGTACTAGTGGAAATATTTTAATATATTGATGTCTACTGTCTAAACCAATACATTTCTAAGAAGCATTTCATATATTTTGTAAGTCAGTCAACTAAAATGCTTTTAATTTCATAAATTTTTTATTTATTTTATTTTTTAATGGATTTTTTAATAAAAATAAAATTATAGCCCAATTATTTAAACAAATATTTCCACTATAAAGTAGAATTCATTAGAAAATATATTCCCTCCTTACCCCATGCCTAGAATATGTTTAAGTTATATTAGCTTCCTAGGATCTGGCTTGTATCAAAAGACATGCCAGAAGTTCCAATAAATAACTCATAACCTATAACACTTCCACTAAAAATAAAGATGACATTTTAAAAAGGCAAATTTTTCTATAAAGTCATCAAAAAGATATCAACTATGTAAAGAGCTAATGTACTTTTTACCTCCTATACAGCCCAAATGTGAATGAGTTTAGCTACATGCAACAACCTGAATCAAGGTCACTAATATACTATCTATATTATAAAATCCCAGTGGCCCTAACAACATAACAACCAAAGACCGGTCACCAGGAGGCTGCATACGCAGTGCGGCAAGGCATGCGTGGGTAGGCAGGGCTGCGTGCGTGGAGAGGTGCGCGCGGGTGGGCGGGGACTTGACTCTGGGTCCCGTGGCGCGGCGGGACTTGAGGGAGTCCCATAGCATGACAGGGTCTAGGGTCCCCGGTGTCGCGCAATTTCATGCGCTGCGTCACTAGCTGTTCAATAAAAGCAAATCACAGAATACAAACCATCGTACTTCAATTTATAATAAGTACAAAAGCAGGACTTTTGGAGGATTTTGTTTCTGGGCATATAAAATATATAGAGCTCTATAAAAACAATGGCATGATAAAACCAACTTTCAGGAAAGAGGTCAAATCTGAGGAAAGAAGACCTTCAATAGGAATGGTGATATTCTTATCTTGAACACGGTGGGTACAAAGCTCACAATTCTTTCTTTGAATTTATCTTCTGAAATTATCCAAAACTTCAAAATTTCTACCACTTAAATCATAACACCTCATATAAAATTTGTCATCAACTCCAGGGAATTTCATTTACCTTCTAAAATGGCATTTAATTTTTAAAGTCACATAAGAAAAATAATTTTATATAATTTCTGATACATAAAACCTACATATAGCTATACATTGTACACTCTTATTAACAAATGCATAATACATTCATAACTGACCACTCCCACCCCCAAGAATGGTACAGATGTAAAATGTAAATAGTGCTGAGTAATTTTAACAAATAATTATTAGTGTTACAAAGATATCCTAATATTACCTGGGACAAGATTCAAAGGCAATCTTCTAGGTGAAATTGCTCTGGGGTGCTGCTTACTAATTTCTTCATAAATCTGAAGCCTCTCCTCTAAAGTGCCTATTATCAATAAATATGTGTGAGATTCAAAGCATCAAAACTTGTATCTATCATAAAACACTAATAAACTTTAAAAATTATAAGATTAAATTAAAAATATTAAAGCTACTCTCAATTTTTGTAAGAATGACATTAAAAAGTATGTGGTGGTGAAATAATGTAATTAGTAAATAACCATTTTAAATCCAATCTCTGAAGAAATTCAAAACTTCATTTAGTAAAACAGATTGTATATGCAACTCAAATCATATACACACAAGATGCAAATACTTAAGATAAACTACATTTGCCTTGTATTCCTTAGTGTACATCCCATGAAAAAGAAAACATTCCTTTATAACAGAGATTTTAAACCAGAGTGCAACAAGAGGCACACTAGTGTGCCGCAAGAATTTTTAAAACATGCAATACCTGACTATTTAGTCAGGGGCACTGACCTATTTTTCCTTAGATTGTCAAATAGAAAAATGACAATAGCCAACACAATAGCCGTCCAATATGAATGAATCAAAATTATACCTATTTTTTTGGTCAAATTGGCAAAAAAATATAATCTATGTTTTGGTGTGCCACAGATTTTTAGTAATTATGTGTGTCACGAGATGAAAAAGGTTGAAAATCGCTGCTTTATAACATCTTACATGAGCTCACTAGCCCACAGAAGTCTACTAGTATAACATCCATTGATTAGGCTTAAGAGAAGCAACAGTTTTAAGATCTTGAATGCAAATGTTTTGTATGTAAAAAGAACTAAATTTCTAAGGCAGCCTTGACACTTAAAATGTTCAATGAAACTCCATTATAAAGAACCCCATTAGTACAGATTATTTAAAGTAGTAATATCATTTCTTCCAAAAACAATGATATACTTCTAATAATATTATAAAATATACTTCTAATAGAAAGTTGTATCTTCCCTTCCAAGACCACCTAATTTTATAGTACTAAACAGAGGCTATACATCTAATATAATCTATATCAGGGGTCCTCAAACTACGGCCCGCGGGTCACATGCAAATACAAATATTGTATTTGTTCCCGTTTTGTTTTTTTACTTCAAAATAAGATATGTGCAGTGTGCACAGGAATTTGTTCATAGTTTTTTTTTAAACTATAGTCCGGCCCTCCAACGGTCTGAGGGACAGTGAACTGGCCCCCTGTTTAAAAAGTTTGAGGACCCCTGATCTATATGATACTCTACAACAAAAATTTGCAGGTTATAATCTGTATCTGGTTTGTTATTCTAAAACAATATCCTGCATAATTTACAAAGATAGATTGCATGCATTATTTTACATAAGCAATAAGCCAACTGACAGCAGAATTTTCAGAAAAAGCAAACAAATCTCTTTTAAACTATAAGATTTAAGGGGATTTTAATTCAGACCACAGAAATACAATTATTTTAAGAATAACTCTTAGTGCTAGTAATCAAAGTATTTCCATAATAAATGTAGTTTTCACAATCATGACTATAAACACTATATTTGTTTGCTTTTTTTTAAGACTTCTTCATTCCCCCAATAATATGTTTTGGAGCTCCAATGTGGCTAGATTTTTGGAACTGGGATATGTGAAAAATAATTTTTAGATTCTGTTAACGATTTGGAGACTTCATGAAATATCAAGCACCCTTCCACTAAAATTCACATGAAGACTATTGTGGGCTTTTTGTTTGTTTGTTTGTATTTTTAAAAAGCAGTTCTTACAAGTAGGCCTAATGTTAGAAAATGATATTTTTAAGTTGTAAGCATAAAAGAATTTTTTCCACTACCCCAGATATAACAAGTGTTATAAATATAGTTGAAATACCATTAAGACAAAACCGAACCATTTCAATGCCCTATTTCAAGTCACAAGTTGGAGCTCCAGAACTTACCATGGGGGAGAAAAGGTCCTAAGGAACCTAAAAAGATAAAGTAATGCAATTAGTTTTATAATCAAGACATTTTAGATTAAGTATGGATTCTGAAATACAGAATATATTATATTCATTTTACTAAAACATGTAAATAATCTGTAGTTTTAAATAATCTGTATTATTAACTACATGTCAGTAACTGGTAGTTTAAAGAAAAGTCATAGTTATCTCACATTTCTAACTTTCAGACATGTCTTCTGTCCTATTTTTAATAAAAATAATAAAAAAACCAGATTGAACTAACGAATATTTAAATTTCCATCATTTTTTAAGAAACATTTAAAAATACTTTAGTAATTGTGACATTAAATTTTAAATACAAGCAGAAAACCTGAATTAATTTATAAAAATGATTAGGACATAACAAACTTTTCTCATGGTTCATACTACTATAAATGAATATGGGTAGCTGCCTATTTACTCTACTTATTAAATTTAAAAATTCTGCTCTTTCAACACCCCTGAACCATAGATTCATAATTATTTCAGTCATATATTTATCCATAAATAATAGGATTTTAGAAATTTTAATTGCTAACAACATTTAATTATGAAAATATTAGGGAAAATTTGAACTATGACTCTACATTTCTGAAAAGGGTCAAGGTTATATAATTTAAAAAGATGTATAACATTTTACTCCACACAAATTAACCTAGTCTGAAATTCAGAGAACAATTTTCATGCCAATGTTATATACCATATACTCTCATCAAAATTTCTTTATCCCAATTTTTATTTAGAGATTGAGGATAACAGACCTCTAATTCTTTTTTTTTTAATATATTTTTATTGATTTCAGACAGAGAGGAAGGGAGAGGGGGAGAGAGACAGAAACATCAATGACGAGAGAGAATCATTGATTGGCTGCCTCCTGCAAGCCCCCTACTGGGGATCAAGCCCGCAACCCGGGCATGTGCCCTTGACAGGAATCGAACCTGGGACCCTTCAGTCCTCAGGCCAACGCTCTATCCACTGAGCCAAACCAGCCAGGGCAGACCTCTAATTCTTTAAAAATATTAAATAATTATGACACTTTCCAGAAAGAGAACACTCATTTCATTATCTTTCCCATCTCTCTAGTATAAATAGGTAACATTATCATTACCTGTACCTGTACACATTTATCATGTAAGTATAAATATTTTAATTCATTTTCACTCCAATAATTTTCCTACATGGCAAAATGAATTCTAGGGCAAGAAATATATGTCTTCAAATATTATTACAATTTTACATTTTATTATACGTACTTCAAACAATAGTTAAAAGAAGGTAGAGCCCTAACCGGTTTGGCTCAGTGGATAGAGCGTCGGCCTGCGGACTGAAAGGTCCCGGGTTCGATCCTGGTCAAGGGCATGTACCTTGGTTGCGGGCACATCCCCAGTAGGAGATGTGCAGGAGGCAGCTGATCGATGTTTCTCTCATCGATGTTTCTAACTCTCTATCTCTCTCCCTTCCTCTCTGTAAAAAGTCAATAAAGTATATATTAAAAAAAAATCAATAAAATATATTTAAAAATAAAAATAAAGAAAAATAAAAATAAAAAATAAAAGAAGGTAGAAAAGAAAAATCAGTACATACTAAGTTGCAGAGCTTTTTCCAAGCCTTCATAATAACACCAATTTTCCGCATTCCGATCAATCAGATTTTTGAATACTTCACTGGCTTCTTTTAATCTTCCCAATTTCAACAGCATTTCCCCTAAAATTAAGTTTAAAGTCACAATGATTTAACTTAAACATTAAATACCTTTCTGATCCCAGAGATTTCACTAAACATTATTAGTATAGTAGATATTTATGGAAGACAGGACTGTATGTGCCTCCCTCTGGCACAGATTGCAGTTTATATAACTAAACATAGATTAATTTACAGCTTGCCTTCAGAAACGAAACTTCATTTACACATTCTACTAAACTAACACTAGAGGCCCAGTGCACGAATTCATGCATGGGTGGGGTCCCTCAGGCTGGCCTGCAATCGGGGCCGATCATGGCCATGGGAGGTTGGCCAGGAGAGGGGCCACAGGAAGTTGGCCGGGAGAGGGGCCACAGAAGGTTGGCCAGCTGGGAGGATGGGCCATGGGAGATTGGCCAGCCAGGGGGAGGGACCACGGGAGGTTGGCCGGCCGCGGGAGGTTGGCTATGGGAGCGCACTGACCACCAGGGGGCAGCTCCTATGTTGAGTGTCTGTCTCTGGTGGTCAGTGCATGTCACAGCTACCAGCCGGTTGTCAGGTCGTCCAGTCGCTTAGGCTTTTATATATATAGGTTGCCAGCGCACGTCATATGTACCGGCCAGTCGGTCAGACTGCCAGTGCGTGTTATATGTACCGGCCAGTCGGTTGGTTGGACGTATGTATGGTCGGTCACTTAGCCTTTTATATATATAGATTCATTTTTGGCTCCCTACAATATCCCAAATATACATGTAGAATATTAATTTGTTAGTTAAAGTCTGCATTATGCATATTTTATATACCCTTCATAAGACTAGAGGCCTGGTGCACGAATTCGTGCATGGGTGGGGGTCTCTCAGCCTGGCCGGTGATCAAGGCCTATCAGGGGGCCAGCTAGCCGGGGGCAGGGACCCCGGGATGTTGGCTGGCCAGTCCCCCAATTGGGGCCTATTGGGGGGGCTGGCCGGCAGGGGGGAGGGACCATATGAGGTTGGCCAACTGGGGTGGAGGAAGGACCGTAGGAGGTTGGCTGGTGGGGGGGGAGGGGCCACAGGAGGGTGGCTGTGGGAGCGCACTGACCACCAGGGGGCAGCTCCTGCATTGAGCATCTGCCCCCTGGTGATCAGTGCACATCATAGCAACCGGTTGACTGGTTGTAATGGTCGCTTAGGCTTTTATATATATAGACTAGAGGCCCGGTGCACAAAAATTTGTGCACTC